TCAAGCGCAAACAACCCACTTGAGAACAAATGTAGGACAACTACAAACCTTCCTGTATGTACCAGCAAGAAATCCTTGGCAAATCAATTTGCTTCAACGCACAGCAATGGTGACAAGCTGATGCATCCAATCTATGTTGGCATGCTGTAGCAAATCACTCCCCCCCCCATGCCCAATCATCAACGCACCATGTCACAGCTCCACTCCCCTACTCTCACTCGTACCCGCACAACACACATCCAACACTCCCATCCCGTCTACACTGTCGACCCAGTGCTCCCTCCCACTCACCGCTTTCTGCTGCCCGATTCGATTGAAGCGCATCTGTGCTGCGCGATTCGATGCACGAGAGGTGCAAAGGAGCCAATCACCGCACACTGCTCTGCAATCGTCAGTTGCGATGCACAACACCGCATTCAGTTTTACACGGTAAACTCGGAAGCATGTGTGAGTGCTCGCAGTCCTCGTCCCACCACTACCTCCGTCGCATCACATCATGTCTGTGCTAAGCCTCCTTACAATAGGGTGTTAAAGCTGTAATGTGTGCGTAGCATTGCCTCATGTTCTCCAGTTAAAGCATTGTGTCTTCACTCTCCCCCTTTGTTGACTATTCATTCTTTTGCAAGGAATGCGACACCACAACACTCTCTCTACCCCTCATCTTACCGAGCCTCGTTTTTAGATCGTCGACCAGTGAATATGCGTGGATGCCGTCCACCTCGGTAAGCACTTCCCCCCCCCTCCACCCCAACTCCAACCAATCTTAATCCTATTCCTTCATGCTCTCTCGTAGCACATGCAATGAATATGGTGGGTGAGGGCGACTCTCAACCACCCTTGTCGCTGCATTGCCGTCCTCATCACCCACAATGTGTAAAACCTTTTCTTCTACATTTTAGCCTACTGCCCATCCTATTGGTTGGTCACTTATTCAACCTAACTGTCCAATTCACCTCTGGCTAACGCCATGCATACAGATGTCACGCTTTTCATATTACGCCATTTTGCATCTGTCGTGGTAGCAAAACATTGGGAGGATGAGCACTTCCTCCCACAATCTAACCCATTGTATTCTTTTACAGGCCATGCTATTGTTATGCATGCCCACGTAAGCTATTGCACTATTGCAACTCACCTATGTGCCTTTCAGTTGCGACGCCATTGTGGCGCTGCATATTACTCACACCTGATGGAGATCTCGCCCCCAGTTTGGGGAAGCCAATTGCTGTCATCTTCACTGTCCTAAAAGCTGTCTTTGCATTGCGATCGCTACTGGTGAATGTAAACGAGGGAGCCATTGCAGCGGGAGGCCCTACTCGCTCTGCTCTCCCGCTTCACCTCACCTCCATCAACTAACTCCTCGATGCACCCCATTAAGCTTCGTTTCCACACATTCCACCGCACCTCAACAGTATTTTTGCAAAACCACCTCGCAGCCACTAACTCTGGCCTCACCCACATTATGTCTCCCATGCCGCCAAGTAGACGCGTACATTTGCCGACAATTCATGTGGTGGAGAAAGGAGTGCATGGTGCTACATTGCAGACGTAGAAATGAGGACAGATGTGGGTGATGTTGTGTGTTCTCTCATTAGGTATGAATATTACATACCGATGGCGACGCCGACTACGTATGGATATTACCCATACTAGTAAGGAATTCCATCCTCCTCGACTTAAATCCTGCCATTCTTTCTTTAGTATCCCTTACACTGATCACAGTGTGACCTTTATATTACGCAACTTTTTTTCCTTTCCTCGCACATACTTATTGCCCCATGCTTCATTTCTGTCTCACAGCACAAGCTCCTACTACCGTGAGTGAAGCAGACTTTGTACTACCCCTATCACTCCATTCATACCTTCACCAACCTTACTGTATAAAACGCCTTCCTTTACATTTTAGCCTACAGCTACACTTGGTTAGTAATTTGTTCACCATAAATGTCCACTTCACGCTCAAGTTGCCGCAACTACCGTGCTCTATGTTTAACTTAGCACGCCACACACAGCCGTCACAACTTTCATATAACACCGCTTGGCATGATTCGCGGTAATTGAGTTTCGATGAGGTGATTGTCTGCACAAAATAAAGGGTTGTCTCCTTTTTCCAGGCCATATTACTACTACTATTACTACCCACGTAAGTAAATGCACTACTTCAACTCGCATATATGCCATTCAATGGTGGCGTCGGTGCAGCGTTGCACATTGCTAGCAGGTGGTGAAGATAGCACATTCAGTTTGAAGAACTCGACCAAAATGGAGATGACGGTCTAACACGGTTTTGTTATTGCTGCGACTGCTATTAGCAAAAAACGAGGAGGTTCTCATGTATTCAAGCCCCTCCTCTCCCCTCTTCTCACTCCTCACTCCCTTACTTCGGCTAACCTCATCGCTGTCAACTACCTCCTCCATGCAGTCAACTTAGCCTCGCTTACAACTGCGTAACAATTCGCCAACATCACTCTCGCAAAACCACCGCGTAGCCAGTGAGACTAATCTCGCGCCTGTTATGCCTCATACGCCGGCAATTAGAGAATCACTTTTGTAGCGATCCAATCAATGCACAAGCAAAGGGAAAAAGCTGAATAATTCCGTTCTCTCCCATTTGTTCAGAAACTCCGACACCGCAACCGCAACCCCAGCCACAGCCACAACCTCAGCCGCAGCCACAGCCTCAGCCACCTCAGCCGCAACCACAACCTCAGCCACCTCAGCCGCCTCAACCTCAGCCGCCTCCACCTCAACCTCAGCCACCTCCACCACAGCCACCACA